TAAAATTTAAAAGTTTAATTAAAAATTTATTATTGCTCACAAGTCCAAGTTTCAAGTGGAAGCCTCTATTGATCGACTAACCTCTGCTGGGAATGTTCATGGGCCTGAAGTCATTTGTGAGCCATCAGATAAAGAATAGTAAATAACCTTCATCTCATATCTGGCAGAGTGTGGAAAACCCACATAACTATGACTCAAAATCTATAAGCAATAAGAAAAGTGTGTTAAACTTGACTGCATTGTTGAAACAAAGAAATAAAATGTTTGCATGTCTAAATTGCCATAAGCAATGTCAAAGAATGAATGAAAAAGTGGGGGAGATATTGACACACATTTTATAGAAAAAGGCTATTATTCAAATATATAAGGAACTATTAAGAATCAAGAAAAGAAAACCAACAACTAAATAACCAAATATACAAAAGGTATGAATAAAACTCTTCATAAAAAAATGTAAAAAGCATTTGCACTTGTAAATTCAGCTCTCGACTTCACTCCTAAAAAATGCAAATTGAAACTATACTTTGCTGTTATAATTCATCTATCATATTAGCAAAAATCCAAAACTTTGAAAACATACTCCATTCACAAGGCTGTAGGGAAAACGAACTTTATATATTCTATTTTACTTTAGTTAGCCTTCTCTCTATTTATTTTAATCTGATGTTTTCAATTCTTGTTTCTCTTGTAATTCCCAATAAATAAATGAATGCACAAATTATTAGTTATTTTTAAAGCATAACTTTGGAATAGATTCCTCTAAATAGATTGTTGGAGCAAAAGGTAAATACACATGTAACTTGCTAAATACTGTCAATTCATCTCCATAGAGCTTATACTACTTTACATTCTAACCAGTCATGTTTTTACATTACAAATACTTTTTATTTTTATGCAAAAATTTAAAATAAAGAGGAGGTGCTCTTTGCAAAATATAAAATAAAGGGAAACAAAAGCCCTCACTTTATATTAAACTGGTACCATATCATAAAAAAATGAAATTGTTCCAAGTTCTAAACATGGAAGTTCTAAATAGAATATCTTACAAGGAAAAAAGAACTGTAAAAAACCTTTAACTTTATGCAATTATTTAATTTTTAATAATAATATTTGTATTATGATTTTGAAGTTATGCTATTTACTTGGCTTGATAAACCTTAAAAATGCAAATAAGTTAATCTTGATATTGGTAGGAAATGAAATTTTCAATATAAGAAAAAGGAGATATAAATATAAGGGACATTAATTTAAAAAAAAACCATGAACTCTTCATTTGGATCAGAATTGCTGCTAAATCTCAAGGGTCATAAAATTCTTGATTTCTTAGTTGAAAGCAAGCTGAATGTCCAATTTATATTTCATAGTTAAGTCCCTTCTAAAAAATCCTCAGCAATTGATTTCTGCCTCTTTTTGAATTATATCAGTGCCAAGGAAATCATTCCATCACAGATTTGATATTAGTTCTGTGACTAAGCCTTGACTCCATCTTTACTAGATAGGACTTAGAGAATTAACTTAATCTCTCTAATTCCCTGCTCTATAAAATGAAGATAATAAAAAAATCCCCCTGACAGGACTGATTCCTGAAGGGATTGGCCAGGCTGTGAGAACAATGATTTCTTACCAGCAAGCCCTTCAGGCATTGTGCAGCCACAAATCCTTCCATAACAGTCACATTCTAAGTAATATTGTGATTTGAGGTATTTTGGTACATCACCCATCTTGAAATCCTGACACTCCTAAAGTAAGAGACTGAGTTTTGTTAATATCTGCACAGTAAACATAGTGTCTGCTGCCAAGTTGTTTCTGATACCAAAAGTACATGTGAAAATGGTTTGTAAGCCACAAGGCACCATAAAATATTGGTTATTATTACTCTTATTAAAGTTAGCCATTTCCATTTTGTGTGGTTGTAATTGCTGTAACTTTTCCATGGTTTGACCTGAAACCTCCTCCAAGTTACTTTTATTGATTATTCTTTGTTCTATCCCTGGGCTCTACTGAATGATTAGTCCCTCACATTGAAAGAATAAAAACAAAATTTTATCAATTAGAATAACAGAAAATGTAAGCATTCAAATCCTGGCTGTGTTATGAATTATTTCATTAAGTAGATCAATTTGTGCCACTTACACACATGCATACGAGGAAAGCCTTCCCTACTATTCTTTACTTTTATTCACTTTCCGTTTTATCAAAAATGAAACCCTTACTGAAGAGTGACTATGATTCCAGTTACCCAAGATTTTTCATCCCTATAACTGTATGTGGTTACTTCTGCTGGAAATATCCCCCTATAATAATGCTCATTAGGATGATCACCTATCTTTTAGAGAGTGGCTGTTTTTTTTTTTTTTTTTTTTTTGGTTTTTTTTTTGTTTGTTTTTTGTTTTTTTTTGAGACAGAGTCTCACTCTGTTACCCAGGCTAGAGTGCTGTGCCATCAGCCTAGCTCACAGCAACCTGAAATTCCTGGGCTCAAGCAATCTTTCTGCCTCAGCCTCCTGAGTAGCTGGGACTACAGGCAGGAGCCACCAAGCCTGGCTAATTTTTTCTCTATATATTTTTTTAGTTGTCCAGCTAATTTCTTCCTATTTTTTAGTAGAGACGGGGTCTCGCTCTTGCTCAGGCTGGTCTCAAACTTCTGAGCTCAAAGGATATACCCGCCTCGGCCTCTCAGAGTGCTAGGATTACAGGTGTGAGCTACCACACCCGGCGGATATTGATTGTTTTATACCCCACTTATGGCATAATTCTCTGCCTATTTGTAATTAAGTAAGTAATATCTGTGGCCAAGCAGTGTGTTCTCCTCTAGAACATGACATTGGTGAGGATTTAGGCAGTTTCTGTTTTCTTCACCCTTAATCTATTACAGTGACTGACAAAGAGCATGAAGCAGGCTCATTGCATGCCTCTCAGCAACTTGACAGACTCTAGTGAGACAGAGGACACTCGTATGCAACGAGTTACATCGAGCAGGTTTATTAGTTACAGATAGGCAGCAAGGGACAGCAAAAGCTAAGGATTCATTGCAAGTGGGTCTCCCAAGGCTCAGAAAAGTTGCCCTGGTGGACAGTCCCATACTCATGTGCCTCATTTGTACCTATTCTGGGTATTATACCCTGGGATAATGTGACCACTGGGCTGAAGTATTGAAGGAAATTCTATTCTGGGGGTGTGAGAGAGCACTGGAACAGAGCCTGGGTAGTTCAAGCCAGCTATTCCTTATCCCAAGATGTCACATTTCCAGAACATTCTACAGTTATTCTTGAGAACTACAGGTGAGGAATGAGAGGAGAACTGAGTTGGTCGTAGGCCACCCGGAGAACTGTCCTACAGAGGGAAGTTATAAAAAAACTAACTTCTTGAATGATACTCCTTCATGAGACTTTAACTAGTCTTAAAAATGGAGGCACTCTCTCACTTCATATCTCATTATATGTTTCTAGTTATGTAGTTATAGTTCTAGTTGCATTATAGCTGTTTATGTAAAAGCTTTACTATTTGTTATGCATTAGATAAATAGCGTGGAATACCAAATATGTAGGTAAAACAGAAGAATCTGTCAATACAATCTTTAGATTTCAAAAAACTGGTTTAATATATTAATATCAAACATAGGTGATGTTTAAAACACATTTCATTAATTAACAAAGAAGGAATGGCCATATACTGCCCTTTCCACGTGATTAAGGCAATACTGACACATATGGGGAAATGTTTTTCTTGGTCCACCTATTCATATATAATCTCTTACAACCTCTGTCCTTTCTCTTCCTTCAGCCCCATCTGGTTGAATTGGCTAATATTTACCAGATGAGTTAGAACATCAATGTTCTAATAAAAAAATTCATTAAATTTAACAAAAGCAATCAATTATATAAATATATATATATACACATACATAATTTGTTGGCTACATTATCAAGATATGTATGTGTATTTGCATGTGCAAATGTGTATAACAGCACATACATTAGGTCACAGGAATACATACAGCTTATATTAAAGTCCCTTGAATCAAGTGTGTATTATAATTATACAAAATAAATATATTCCTGTCATCCTGAAGAGGATTTAATGTTTATTATATGTATATTTGTGATTGAAAATGACAAAAAATACTCCTTGAGTTAGGTAGAAAAAAAGAGGCTGCTTTCTTTCTTTTCAGTATTCCAGAGATACCTTTATGGAGAGGATAAATAGAGAACCTATGTAGAAAAATAAGTAGTCACAAATCCAATTAATTCATCCAATCTAAATTGTGTTATGAAACAATTATTTTCATCAAGTAAACAATTATTTTATATCTTCTCAGTTTCAGGCTCTCATGCGAGAAGTATATAAACAACAAGGAAAGAAAGTAATAAAACATGATTATGGCTCTTAAGGAATTAATGTCTTCAAATTATTTCAACACAATGGTGTCATGTACAAAGTACTGTGGAGCTTAGAGTGAAAATGTCTAATTCTGGCTGGGCAAGTTAAGAATGTCTTTACAGAAAATATGTCATTGGAAATGAGCATAAAAGAATGAAAAGTCGTTTGGAAGATATAAAGGAAGAGGGAGGTTGACTTCATTAGCTTGATCTTATCCAAAAAGTCAAATTTTATGATCAAAGGCAGAGACATAGATGATACAAGTATCTTTGGAGAGTCTACAAAAAACTGGAGTCAATGGAGCCACAAAGCATTTAAAGAAGGTAGATGGGTTATAACTAGAATAACAGAAATATGGATAATGTGAAAGGAAAAAAAAGGACAGGAGCACATTTTCTACCAGGAGAAATACTGTTGAGTTCTGTATTCATGATATGCTAAAACAAGACAATGCTATCACATAAGTCTTTAGGAGAGCACTGAACAAATTTGAGAACATACATTTAAAAAAAAATACTCTTTTAACGTATATATTTGAATGAATGTTTCTTTTATATGTGTATCTACTTATCTGATTAACTTAGTATCTTCAAGGTATTTACATTGTTTGTTAATTCCCAGATGTGTGATCAGCTACTTCTTGAGCAACAGGATAACAAGGTAATTAAATAGCTTTCTTGAATGTAAATTTCTCTTCCCTTCTGATGTTTAGCTTTTCTATTTTTAAAATTTTAAACAGAGAGAATATCATGAATACAGAATAATATTTTCTTTGGAGAATCATATTCACAAGTGAGGTACTGTGCAGTCTTCTGCTTGAACTTCAAAAGGATTGAGCAGATACCTGATGCTAAGTGGCCGGGAATCAGATGTCAATGTCCTGGGTTTCTCAAACAACAAACCACACTGGCAGAGACAATTCGGATAAATCCAGAGAGAAATGGGTCTGGGGGGATACTGCTGGTAAACAAGCAACATACTAGATTGAGATTTACCTTCAAATCCTCATCTAGTTTCAACTTTCATAGCTTATGAAAGACACCTTGGGCTAGACTAAGAATAGTTTGCACCATGCTTCCTTTCTTAAAACTGCATGGCCATTACAGTTTGGTTTTTTAAACAGAATTTCTGTTTGGAGTAGATGGATCGCCCCTAGGGTAGGGTGCTAAGAAAACCAGAGACTAGAGTTCTCTTACTGTACTAGGACAGGAACAGGGCCTCAGAGAATAATGAAAACGTAGGCAGAGATTACTGTTGTATACCAAATACCCGTGTTCTTCTATTTCCTGGTCCTCTTGCCTCTAGATTATGTCACAGGATTAATTATCTCATGAAATCAGAGAAGAAGTGACATATACTTTCATTCTAAGGCCATTAAGAATTGATGTAGCACTTGTTCATCTTCATTCCTTCTTCCGTGTGTGGAAACAAGTCTTCCGTGAGGGCAAGCTTCAAGATGGGAGCTAGCCTGGGTTCCTGCATCCTCTAGGAGGAGATTTATACAAGAAAGTTCCACAGTGTGATGTGAATGAGAAATAAATCTTTAGTTTTTTAATTACTGATACTGTTACTGCAATATAGTCTATACTGATTAATAAGCCCAAAAGAAAATATTTAAAAATTATGAAAAAAGTACAACCTTATTTGTAACCTCCTGCTTCTTACACTAAGAATTCCACTGACAAACTTGAGCAATTATTCAATCACCCATTCATTCATTTGTTCATTTTGCAGTGGAAGAACTGAGCTAGAGCTTATCACACTCACTCTATAAGTCAGTGGACACAGCTAATGGTGTCTTATTATGGTGTAAAATTCACAACTCATTTCTTAAGCATATACTTTGTTTCTTAAAATTATGCCTGGAGTTCTAAATAAGGCTCTTTGTTCACACCAATTTGTTGAGACTTGTTTTGTGACCTAAGATGTGGTTTTTTCTAGAGAATGTTCTGTGTACTGTTTTAAAGAATGTGGTGTATCCTGCTGTTTCTTTGTTGATTTTCTGTCTGGAGGATCTGTCTATTACTGACAGTACGATGTTAAAGTTTCCTACTAGTATTGTATTATAGTCTCTCCCTTTAGATCTGTTCACTTTTGATTTGCAATTCCTCTCTTCCTTTCTTCATTTCTTCCTGGTTTCCTTTATGGTTAATTGATTTTCTCTGATAGTGTTTTTTTTTTTTTTTGTTTTTGTTTTTGAGACAGGGTCTCACTTTGTTGCCCGGGCTAGAGTGCTGTGGCATCAGCCTAGCTCACAGCAACCTCACTCTCCTGGGCTCAAGCGATCCTCCTGCCTCAGCCTCCTGAGTAGCTGGGACTACAGGCATGCACCACCATGCTCAGCTAATTTTTTTTTTTGTATATATATTTTTAGTTGGTCAATTAATTTCTATTTTTAGTAGAGAAAGTGTCTCGCTCAGGCTGGTTTCGAACTCCTGACCTTGAGCAATCCGCCTGCCTCAGCCTCCCAGAGTGCTAGGATTACAGGCGTGAGCCACCACGCCCAGCTGATAGTGTGTTTTAATTCATTATTTTTATTTTTGGTGAGTTTATTATAGGTTTTTGCACTGTGGTTAAAGCTGTGGTCCCCAGTGCCCGGTCCGTGGCTTGTTGGGGACTAGGCAGCAGAGCTCAGCCACCGAACTACCCCCAGTCCGTGGAAAAATTATCTCCATGAAAATTAGGAAATTGGTGGTGGTGGTGGCAGTGGCAGGGTGCCACACAGCAAAAGGTGAGCAGCAGGTAAGCCGGGGAAGCTTCATCTGTATTTACAGCTGCTTTCCATTGTTGGTATCACTGCCTGAGCTGCCCGCCCACATCCATGGAAAAATTGTCTTCCATGAAAATGGTCCCTAGTGTCAAAAAGGTTGGGGACCACTGCTTATGATGAGAAATAGCATACATACAGTGTTGAAAATCTCTACACAGTATACTTATTACTGACGAAGGGAACATAGTGAATTTACAGTGGAGAAATCTGGTAGAAACCATTTTATCTAAGTCCTCAAAGGTAATATCACCAGGAATAAGAAACTTTGACATGTTTCTCTGATATCTGCTGAAATGGCACAGCAACACTTCTGTGGTATTTTTGCCCCAAATGCATAAACTCAATCTAATAATAAGAAAATAGAAAAACAACAGAAATCGAAGTCTGGTCTACCAAATAAATGACTAGTGTTTCTTAAAAGTGTCAAATTCATGGAAGACAAAAGAAGATTCAGGGACCAACATACATTGTGGAAGTATTAGGAGGCATGACCGCAAATGCAATGTGGAATTCTTGATTGGATCTGCACCATAAAATGGTCATCAGTGGGACAATTTAAATGTAGATTATAGATTAGTTAATTTTGTATCAATATCAGTTTTCTGGTTGTGATACTGTTGTATTATTATTTAAGATTTAAGATTAGAGGAATCTAGGTGGAAGGCAAACAGGAAAAATGAATAACTTTTCATTTTTTGGTAGGTCTAAAATTATTTCAATAAAAAGTTTACAAAAGAAAAAATAAACCAATTAGGTGGTATAGTAATGTAGGCTAAGAACTATCTTTAAGAAAGTTTATTGCAATAATATCTAAAATAGTAAAATATTGGAAATAACATTTATGTCAAATGCAGAATTGGTATGTTCACATAATGGCATATTTAGCAACCATAGAATTGATTTTGAACATGAATACTTTTTGACAAGGAAAAAATACTACCAAGTTATGTGATCATTTTAAATAACACATAAATATGCACATTTATACATAAAAAATCAAGTAAGATTTTCCAATAAAATATTTATATTTAAGGGGCCATCTCTGTGTATTTTACTTGTGGCTAGTAGTTTTTTCCTTCTTCCTTTTTTCTTTGTTTTTGGTTTATGATTATCCAAGTTGAGCATGCATTATATTTACAACAAGCAGAAACCTTACCTTAAACATAATGCCCTAAGCTTTGCTGAAGAAGAATGAAACTCTAGCAAAGACAATATAAGTAAAAATTAATTCTGACCATATTTATATGAAGGAAGATCAAACATTATCATCTGTATTATGTAATCTCTATATAATGCTCTGTTATGGAGCACAGCTCTATTTTTAAAAGAACATCCTTTTTCACAGTTTATATCAGACTCTAAAGCTTCCTGGGGAACAGCTGAAGTCCCATCCCTAATGATAAAAAGAGGGTTATGTTTGATAAATAAAATTTGCTGTGTATTTAGAAGCTTACTTTTAATACTAACTTCTTTTCATAGTAAGTCTCTGAAAGACTCTTGCACTTTCAGTAGATCCCTGCTCTCTGTGATGGAATCCCATGTATAGTGTGCTTCCTGATGATGTTTCAGCCTACAGTTCAATCTTTTTGTTGTATTATTTAATGTGATAGTGGTACCTCATTTTTTTCTTCATGGAACCTCTGAGTAACAACCCTATACAGATTATTAAAAAAAATTTTCAAATTGAAAGCCTAGACCTAGACCCAGAAATTGCCTTTACCCAAATTACTTCAAATTTTTAGTGGAATCTTTTCAACAATACATTTTTAGCTGCTTCAAAATGCTATTTTATGTCTATTTAATATATATGTGTCTATATTAATATTATACATACATATTAGTCTTTTCAAGAAGCACATTGATAAATAAATTCACTTCTGTCCGCATTTTAAAGGTTTATATCTTAGAAATGCCCTTGTAATTTTCTTATAGATTAGCACCCACATAAAAATTAAAACTGGTTAAAATTTAATATGGAGTAGTTTTTATCTCATTTTTATATTTTGATGGTGGTAACAAAGAAACTTGAAATATTTTTTGTTACCATAATTCAAAGCCAAGAAAGGAAGAATTTGTTCTGGTAGATGCAGTTTTGACAGCTAAAATGGTGGGTTTGGACAGATGTCTCTAACTTCATTCGGTTTTCTGAACAATGTCTCTCCAGTTGGCAAAGATGGAGGAGAGTTTTTGAGAACATATGTTCATGTAGGAGGTTAAACTTGTGGTTGTGGTGGATATAATATAAGAATAGCCTTCAGTGAACTATTTCTTGACATCTTTTCCAGCTGTGAGATGCATCAATGGAAAAAATGTCACATTTTAAAATATTTTCTTCACAACTGAGCTGATTTTACTCAAATGTTTTGGTCAGTTACATCTAAAATAAAATTTTCATTTTTCTAACTGGGAAATATTGGAAAATATAAAAATAACCAACATAATTTGATGCTTGAGAGAAGCTATGAAAGATTGAATAACTGAGAGGGAAAACATGTTTTAGACATGGATTGGTAACCTTCTAAAGATATTGCAATAAGAAAAATTAATTTTGCAATTCCTTCAGGGTTAACCGATCCAAAATTGAGATTCAGTATACTAGATTGTTGCTAAGCAACTTACAAGTTGCTGTGTTCCTAATTTTAGGCTTCTGTAACTAATTTATTGTTAACAGAATTCATCATTGGTTCATAGAAACTGAAGACTTTGTTAGGAGAGGAAAACACAAAATAAAACAGTGAAGCCTAAAATTAAATGATTACTCTAAGCATAATCCTGCTAGAAGGTTACATTTGCTATACATGAGTGACCACTGAGGAAATTCAATTTATGTAGGCGATGAAAGTCATTTTAGTAAATTAATATTTAATATGTTAATACATATTTTAAATTA